CCCCGTTATGCACCTCATGAATTTGCCCCGCTCAGCGCAGCGCGTTGCTGAGTTTAACTGATGTTCTGTTTTGGCCCTCGCCGCCGCGCCCATTCGTGTTCACTTTTTGGGCGCGTTTCTTTCAACGCCCCTGTGTTTCCATTTTGTGTAATTGCCGTTCCTCTTCTTGCTACGCTCGTCTGACATCACTGCTGGGTGCTCTTCTTTCGCACGGCGGGTCCTTCAGAATGCCAGTCAGCATTGAGTGGTCCTGAGCAGAATCGCCACATGTATAGAAAAGGGATAGGTACGTCACATGGTAAGTTTTACAACGAATGTGCGCGGCGCTAAGGCGAGAGCCACATTTTGAAAACGACCCGCCCCCCATCTGTGAAATTGTTGCCGATGTTTAAGCTTCAGGGTCATAAATGGTGAGGAATTCTCGGGCGAAATGCCCGGCCCGCCCGAAAAACCGGCCTCGGGGTGCGACAGGGAGAGTTTTTTTTGGTAATAAACAAACATATATATATATATATATATATATCAGGAAAAGGAATGGTGAGGAGGAGGAGGAGGAGGAGGAGGAGGAAGGGGGAGGAGGTGAGGAGGGAGGAGGAGGAGGAGGGAGGAGGAGGACCGCACCCCACTGGGACTGAGACTTCGCGCGTCGTGATGATTTCTTCGCGGCGTGGCTCGCCAGGGGGTCTGTGCCGCACCCCCCCGGGGGGTTGGGCCAGCCTGACGACCGCGAGCTGTTCCCTGACGGCCTTGGGGCCCGGTGATGAGGGCCTCGCAGTCGAGATTTTTGTCACGGGGTCTGCTCGTCCTTCTCCTCCCCGCTCCTCTCCTCCTCCCTCTCCTCCTCCTCCTCCTCTTCCTCCTCCTCCTCCTCCTCGTCCTCCTCCTCCTCCTCCTCCTCCTCCTCCTCCCCTCCTCCTCCTCTCCTCCTCCTCCTCCCTCTCCTCCTCCTCCTCCTGCTCCTGCTCCTCCTCCTCCTCCTCCTCCTCCTTCTCCTCCTCCTCTTCCTCGGTGGCTCGGTGGTGCGGACTGTTCACAAGGAACTGGGGCCCTCGGTCCCGCCCCCCCTGGAACTGGAGCCCCGGCAGCAAGCCGTCCCCGGCGGGGGACGGAGGGTATAAAACGGGGCCGACATCACAGCCCAAAGGGGGGGGCTACCCCAGGGTGACTGGCGAACGAGGCCGGGGACGATTCGGGAGGACAGCAGCAGTGGCAGGAGCGAGAGAGGCCAGGAAAAAAAACGAGTGCAGCAGGCACGACGAGGAGGAGCGGACAACGGGAGAGAGAGGTCCCAGCAAACAAGTGACCCCCCCAAGCGCACCCCCCCGATATACGCGGGCACACTCCTGACGGGGGGCCGACCTGTACAGGTCCCAAGATGACGGGTCAATGCGGGGGGGCGCTGGAGGGTGTCACCGGAGCGCTGGGGCATGGTAGGATAATCCTGTGCCGAGTCGTGCCGTTGGTTCCCGAGCCCCCCCCCATTTTTCCTCATACTCACCACCCACCAAACCACCCCAACCCAACCCGAAGGCCTCAGTTTGCCCTCCATTTCCAGTGGGGGGGGGTCGGGGAACATTGAAAAAGCACAGATGAACCCTTATCCCCCCCAACCCGAAATTCGGGTCTTCGGGTTGGGTTGGGGTGGTCTGGTAGCTAGTCACATACCCCCCCGCGTCGTACGACAGGGCGGCTGACGGCGTGCGACCCGCAGAGGGTGGCTGACGGCGTACCGTGTTTGGATGGGGGCGGCCGAAGAGTGGTGGCCCAAGCCCCCGCCCTCACATCTGTTTCCCCGGCATTGCTTCGGGGACGGGGGCGGGGAAGGCTGGAAAGAAAAAGTGGTTGGTGGGGCTCTCCCAGGTCAGCCCCCCCCCTCACGCCCCCTGGCACAGCTGGTGCTCCTCTGAGGCCTCGGTTGCTTGCTTTCTTGCTAGCGTACTTGCTTTTTACTTTTACGTCGGCTCAGACGTCGCGTTCCAGCTGCTGTCTGTCCCCAGTCGTGTTCGAGGTTCGCTCACAGTTGGTAACCGCCGTGGCCGGTTGACGTCCATAACCCGTTAAACCATGAACAGTGGGAAACCGACCCCAGCCCCCACAATTATGGGTTTTACATGTCAGCGTTATGTATTTACGGCGAATGAGCGTAAGTGTAGGCGCCCTGAAGGCGAGACAATTGCCAGCTGCCGCAGGGGGGCCCCGCGCGCGCGGCGACGTCCTGGGCCCGCTATTCCCAGGGCGGCGCGTGCCACGGCCGCGGCTCGCAGTTTGAGGCGACGGCGGCGCTGTCCCTCGCGCGGCAGCGCCGCTGGCTCAGCCGAGGGCTCCCGCGCCCGCCTCCGTCGCCCCCTCCTGACCCCGCCGGCGGAAAAGTTTAGATCGGGAGCGTTTCTCTTAAGGCAATTGGTCCAATATGAAGTTTCCTGGGCGTCGATATAAATGCGTTTTTGTTTATATAATCTTTTCGGGGCTCTCGCACGCGATACTTTCTACTTCGGAAATGTTTAGATTGATTTTATATGGAGTTGATATAAACTTTTATCGCCTGGTGTCCAAACTTTGTTTTCGGGGTGGATTTCAACTTTTCGATGCGCGCCCGTGCGGGGCGGGCCCCGGGCGCCGCGTGGGTTTCTTGCCAGCGCCGCCAAGGGCCGACGCTCCCATGGGTTTTTGCCCTGGCACGAGCGCGCGAATGTCCACGATGATTTTGGGCATGGACCGCGCGCCAGCACAAGGAAACGCCAAGTTCAAACGCCAATGAGCATGGCAGCGGCGCGCCGTTCGTATTGAATGTCGCGGCGTTGTCATTGGTTGACCGTCGGGCAGTTACCGCTCTCGGTTCGCGCGTCGTTTGACGGTCCCATTGGTCGAAAGTTCCTCATGTGGGGGGCGGGGGGCGTTTTTCATGTGTGCAAACCAAACGATGGTCCCCACTCCCAACCCCAGATCCCGACTGCCATTAATTCGCCTCCGAATAATTAATTGTCCCCCTACGCCCCTAGAAACATTCCACGGATACTGTGACGATGCGATTCACATGCGCACGTGTATGTTTGTGTTCATATATGCTTGTGTATGTGTGTGTGCATGTATGTATTGATGCATGTATGTATGTGTGCACGGTTGTCTGTATGTATGTATGCATGTCTGCATGCATGTACGTATATATATATATATGTGTGCAGCTATGGATGTATGCCGGTATACCTGTATGTATGCATGCGTGGATATATGCACGCGCACATGTAAGTGCATGGTTGTAGTTTACATGTATGCAATATTCTATAAACATATGTTCGTATACGTATGTATGTCATCATGCATGCATGTATTTATATGCGTATGCATGGGAATGTAAGTATGCATTCATGTATGCATGGACGTATGTACGTATGTTTGCATGTATGTATGCATGCATGTTTGTATGTACGTACGCTATACGCATACCAGTGTGCACATATGTGTGTGCATATTTGCATGCATGCATGCATGCATGTGTGCCCATGTGTGCACGTGTGTGTGTGTACGTTTGCTTGTATGCATGTAATTATGTATATACACCCGTGCATGTATGTATGCATGTGTGTAAGTATGTATGCAAGTGTGCGTGTGCGTAATTCTGTGTGTGGGCATGTATGTCTGTATAAGGGTATGTATATAAACATGTATGCATACCGGCGTACCAGGTACCTTTATATTCATCTATCGACAAATCGGCGAAACGGGCCCGGGGGGGCGAGGGCCGTGCCCTCGACCGCCAATGTTGAGCCCAGGGGCGCTTGGAGCAGCTTTTCGGACCCAAAAGAGCCCCGCGAGGAGCCAAACAGGTAGCGACCACGACCTAACTTAGCGAAGCTACTGCCCCACAAACTGGCCCCAGACGGCCCCAAGAGGCCCAAGAGACGCTCCGAGAGGCCTCTTCAAGGTGACTCCGAGACGACCCCAGGAGGCAGAACTTGCTCATGCTGCTCAGGTGTGTGTAGGCTTTCGTGGCATTCCATTTCCCGTGCTTGCGACGGGGCGTAGACGGCCCAAGAAGTGCCATAAACCACCACAGGACGTTCCAAAGAAGACCCTGCAGGGCCCCAAGATGGCCCGAGAGGAGACCAACACAACTCAAGAGGGCAGACGGCCCCAGGGAGGGCCAACGAGCGGAAAACGAACGCGCACTTCGAGGTTTCTACCCCAATATGCCCCCAGATCGCCACAGAAGGTTGGTTACAATGACTAGCGACCTTCTGATTCGCGATGTTGTTATGGTTCGCGTGGGTTTTGTGCACATGATCTATAGTTGTGGTCAGAGAGGAGCCCGACCTTGATCCCATAATGCCCGCGCGCTGCGCTGCGCTCCTGTTGGCCGCGGAGTCGCGGCATCGTCTGGCACGGCCCCAACTCCGAGGATTCGGTTGATTATTGTTTTGTTGCGGACGGTAGTCATGTTGTGCCCCAGACCCACGACGTCATGATTTTGTTCATGACGTTGACTTCCAGGTATTCAGTTTTCATTATGCCCGCGACTCATTCCCCGGGATTAAGTTTCCATCCTAAATCGTGGTTTGACGGCCCTGGGGCCTGGCGAAGGCCCTCAGAGGCCGAAGATAACACAACTACATCTCCTGTTTTTTGTTCACGACGCGAGGGGGTCTGGGACAGGGGCCGACGGAAACGTCCGAAGACCTCGAACGACGCCGCGAGGAGCTTTGAGTAGGAGTTCGTCGATCGAGTTAACTTGCCCCAGAAGCGCTGTTTCGTCGAATCTAAGAACAAAAAACGAATAACGATCCGTGCATCTACGGGACTGTCTACGATCAAAGAAACTGCTCTGTAGCAAGTCAACTCTGGAGTCCATCTCCTACTCGAGGAGGTCGGAGGAGGAGGAGGAGGAGGGGGAGGAGGAGGAGGCGGAGGAGGATGAGAAGGAGGAGGGGAAGGAGGAGGAGGAGGAAGATGAGGAGGGGATCCTCGGCGCGGACCCCATGGGGCGCCCCGAGCACGCCGCCGAGGCCGAGCGCTCCGAGGCGGAGGCGGTCCGCCAGCTGGCGAAGGAGCTGCAGGAGACACCTGCGCCGCGGGGGGGCTGCGGCCCTTCGGAGGCGCAGAGATGTTGGCACGGGCGCCAACATCTCGGAGGAGAAGGTACCCATGCAGTGCGGGCGCGGCCGCAAGAAGCCCTCGCAATACACCCAACCCTCAAAACCCGCGCGCGAGGTGCAACGGAAGGGGGAACCCGGAGCACCCCGAACGCAGCAGCTCCTTCAACGGCCGCGGGAAGTCACCGCGCACTGCGCGGAGCGAAGAAACCCAGGGCACCCTGGCGAAAAGTATATGGTTTCTTGATGCGCGCCCCCACTGTACCGCTGCCTTTGCCTCGCTTTCGCCTCTTCGGGCCTGCCGGGGGCCCCTCGTCGCCACCGCTGGATTCGCCTCGAAGCCCTGGTCAGGGCGCGCCCCAGGAGAGGTCCGGGGAGTAGCGGTATCGGTACCTTCCGGTTTCTCCAGGAGCACCAATATTGGCGGCGTGCCTCCACCGAGGGAAGATGAACCCGCTCCCTGTGATGCGGTGATAGTCAGGCTTCCCATTTGGCCGAAAGATGATTACAACCAATACCAAGCTTTAGGAGCATCCTCCCTCTGTGGACGCTCCCCCGGTATGGGTGGTGGTGTTCATTTCCATCGGCGCCGCCCCAATACAGTGGCAACGCGCGCGCCGATAAGTCTTATAGTGTAAGCTCTGTGGCGGTCGCTTTCTGGCCATACCGCTCGGGAAGCGATATACCACAGGATGGTTATTCGATACGTTCGGGTCGGACGCACGCCTCCAATGAGTTCACATCGTACTAGTGTGTCCTTGTGCGTCCCATTCCAAGCCTCCACGCCCTCCCTCCCGCCTGCCGCAGCGCAATCGGGATATGCCGCTCCGCGGCGGCGCCACGCGGCGTGCCCACGCGCCGCGGGGAGTCGCAGTGGTAACGTCAGCTTGTTGTTAACGAATCCGTGGGGGGCGCGCGCTTAAACACATAGTTGTCCTGCTCGGGCGAATCGCGGGGTGGCGCCCGCCAGATTGAAAGTCAATGGCGGCGGCGCCGGTGATTAGCGCCGACGCCCAGCCGCCAGCGAGAAGGCGACAGACAACACAGACTGGGGGAGGGGAAGGGTGGCGGGAGGCAAAGTCGACAGAAGCAGGGACCGTGAGCCAGGGCGACACCTGCCCGAAGTGCAGAAGAGCTGTTGTCGGCGCTCGCCCCAGCACTGTCCGTGCTCTTTTTTGTTGAGCCGATGCGCTTCCTCTGCCCTGGCCGCAGCCAGGGGGGGCACCAGCTGCCTCGCGGGCCCGCGAGCAAGGCGGGCTGGACGAAAGGGGGGCGTGGCCAAGCGGGCATTTTCTCAGCAGTTCACATTGCTGGCTTTCGCCTGGGAGGGGGAAACCATTCGCCTCGGATGTGTACGAAACCTATAACGAGTTTAAAACGAAAGGAAATTGTTTTGAGGCTGTCGTGCAGGGGATCACTTCGGCGGCGCCCGCGACGAGCCCCTGGCGCGCGTGATTAAAACATATGTTTCGCGCCCCACGCGTGATTCATCAGCCCCGGGGGTGTGGAGGGGGGTGGCACTCATTCGTTAATCACGAGTTGACCGTTCGCATGCGGGCGGCGTAATTTGCCAGAGAGCGGGGATGGGGGGAGGGAGGGTCCTCCTCCTGGTGAATCCGGGGGAAACGAGAATCGAGAAGGGGGGAGGACAAATGATCGAACAGGGTTTGCATGTTTTGAACTAGTTCTGGTTCTGCGGGGAAAACTTGCGACCCTCTTGGTCATTGCGCCTGTTTTTTTTCCGTTGGAGGATCCGCCATGACCCCCCGCTTGGCGTCCTTTCTCGCTTTTGAGGTTTGGCGGCTGTGGAGGTTATTGCAGAACTCCTCTGGAGGTGCTCGGGCAACCTTGAGGCCACGCGGTCGTGCGGGACTCGGACTGGGATGAATCGTTTCGGAGCGTTCCAGATCGCTCTCAGGACGTTCCAGAGTGCTGGAACGGACGCGGTGCCCGATACATCGCCCAGAACCGCCAGATCCCAGAGATCCGCGGCTTTTGTCCCTGTCCGTTTTTGTCCTGGTCCTGGCTTTGTCTTTCACGGGCGGATTCGCCTCGGGATCCCGCCCGGGGCGCGCTCCAGGACGGGTCTGGAGATCGAAGCTGTGGCCCAGGGCCCAGGCCGGCGTGGCGAGCAAAAGCGTTGCGGGCATTTCTATATTTCTGTTTCGGGGCCCAGGGGGACTTTTCGGGTCCTATGACAAGGCAGCCAAGACGCAGAAAGAAGAACCCTTTTCGGGATCAGGAGGGGCTCGCTGGTTTTCGGGCCGTTCCTTAGGTCTGGGTTGGGGAACCCATTCGAAGCCGAGGCTCGCCGTGGCCAGAAAAACTCCGTCGTTCCTTGTGCAGCGTCCCGTCTGGTAGCACAATGACTTAAGACACGGTTCGAGGCGAACGGCGGGGCGGGGGGACGGGGTCGATATAGTTTTGGCCATGCCCCGCGCTGCAAGGCAACAGATCACGACGCCGACCTACGGCCGAAACGTTGGGACGAGGTCTGCCCTGTTTTCGAAAGGGGCTCGCTGCTACCCTGGTCCTCCCGTAGGTCTTCCACCGTTGCTCCCCGCGCGCCCGGGCGCAGCTGAGGTCCCCTGGCGGAGCTGCGCTCCTCGTCTCGCGTCACGGCTAGCGAAGCGCTGCCGGTAGCTCCGAAGTTGGACGGAGGGGGCGACGCCCTTCCCCGCCCTTGGCCTTCGGCGCTCCTCGGCCTTCTGCCCTGGCTTTAAGTCGGGCGTGTCCCTCTGCAGGAGGAATCGTAAAAAATAGTCAAAGCATAGTCCAAGGACGATGCTTTGAGAGTTTTTGCTTAATTTGGGGGCATTTTGATTTTTTTGGTTACTTTCCATCCAAAATCCGCCTGTAGGGGGACACGCCCGACCTATAGCCCTGGCTCCTCTGTGCTCCTTCTCTTCGGGAGGGAGGAAGGTCGGCCACGCGAAGAAGGGGGTTAGGGGGGAGGGGGGGAGGCTTCCTAGAAGGATCGGCGGCGAGCGAGGGGGGGAAGTGAGAGGGAGAAGGCCTTCTCAGAAGGTGGCCAGGCTTCTCATTAGACCTCCGGCCTTCCGAGAGGTTTTCTGGGTCTTCGGGGAAGGCCCAGAACTTGTCTCAGAAGGCTGGGGGACTTCCGAGCCTTCTGAGAAGGCCCGCCCCTTCTCACTTCCCGGGCTCGCCGAAGACCAGTCCTGCGCGTGCGTTCTGTGGTCGATCCCCCGCCGTCTCCTTGTCTGCCCGCCCCCCCCAAGCAGCTGATCCTCTGCCTCCCCCCCTATACTCTCCAATCCCCCCCTCGCCTCTCCCCCTCACATATTTTGCATCCTCCTTCTCCTGTGACTGCTCCTCGTCGTCGTCGTCGTCTTCGTCGTCGTCGTCGTCGTCGTCGTTCGCGTCCTCCTGAATGTCCATTTCGCCTCTCCTTCCCTCACTTCCCTCTCTTCTTCTTCTTCTCCTCCTCCTCCTCCTCCTCCTCCTCCTCCTCCTCCTCCTCCTCCTCCTCTTCCGCCTGGTCATCATCATCATCATCATCATCATCATCATCATCATCATCATCATCATCATCATCATCATCATCATCATCATCATCATCATCATCACCATCATCATCGTCATCATCATCATCCTCATCTTCATCTTCATCAGCATCGTCATCATCATCATCATCATCACCATCACCATTACCATCGCCATCATCATTGATCATTGTTATTACAGTCATCGTCCTCATCATCATAATCACCATCGTCACCACCAGCATCACCATCATCAATATTACCATGATTTTCATCATCATCATCCTCATCATCAACATCAGCATACTCATCATCATTATCGCCATCAGCATCATTAGCATCATCATCATCAACATCTGTTCATACCATCATCACCAGCATAACCAGCAGCGGCACCAGCATCAGCAATAGCATCGGCACCATCATCATCATCATTACCACCACCATCACCGTCATCATCATCATCAGCATCAGCATGATCATCATCATCATCATCATCATCATCATCAACAACAACATCATCATCAGCATAATGGTCATCATCATCATCAGCATCATCAGCAGCATCATCGCCATCATCACCCTCACCATCATTACCATCATTACCATGATCATCATCATCACCACCATCATCATCACAACCATCATGCCCCGAGAGAGGCACGCCTGGTGCTGGCGGGGGATACTGGGCCTTCGGGGTCCCCGCCCCCGCACCAGGGCAGGAACAGGACCGCGACGAGGAGGGAGAGGAGCAGGAGCAGGAGAAGGAGCAGGAGGAGGAGGAGGAGGAGGAGGTGGTGGAAGAGGCGGATGAACCGAATCGGTTAGGGGGCGGAAGAGAAGCATGAGGCGGACAGGGAGTTCGAGGACGAGGAGCAGGCGTGAGGAGGTAGAGGAGAGATATTAGGATGTGAAGGAGAAGCAGGAGGATGAGGATGAAGTGAGGGCGATTAAGCAGAGGAGTAAGAGGATGAGGATGAGGAACAGGATGAGGATGAGACTGATGCTGCTGCTGCTGCCGATGATGATGATGATGATGATGATGATGGCGATGATGCTGCTGATGATGCTGATGATGATGATGATGATGATGATGATGATGATGATGATGATGATGATGATGATGATGATGATGATGATGATGATGATGATGATGATGATGATGATGATGATGATGATGATGATGATGATGATGATTTAGGGAGGAGGAGGAGGAGGAGGAGGAGGAGGAGGAGGAGGAGGAGGAGGCGCAGGAGGAGGAGGAGGAGGCGCAGGAGGAGGAGGAGGAGGCGCAGGAGGAGGAGGGGGGGCCGAATTGTCGAATGATGAGGAGGTGGTGGAGGAGGCGCAACTGCACGACGAGGCGGGAAAACCCCAACCACCCAAGTATGGTCACCCAGAGATGGCCTCGCTGGCTCGAAGACGAGCTCCTGTACTCTGCGGTCCGTCCGTGGGGGGAGCCGCCGCAGTCCACGTGGCCTAGGTACGTATTCCTCGTGCAGCACTGCAGGAGTCAAGCAGTGCCTCGCGCGATCGCGACGAATCTTGCTGGAGGCAGCCTCGCGAGCAGAGGCCGCTGTGCCGCTCCAAAGATTTGGAAGCCGCTGGGGCGCAGGCCTTCTCCCTCAACCGTGGGGCACCCCCGCGGCCTCCCACAGCCCGGCCCCCTGCAACCCCGCAAGACCCTGCAGAGATCGGGGGTTGGCAAAGAGGGGGGTGATGACTGGGCGGGGGTGGATATCATGGCGGGGGCCATGATAGATAGTTCCCAGGTTTCCTGGCGCCTCTTCTTATTCTATTACGTCCCTGCCCCCCCCGCTGGGCCGCGCAGATGCCGCCGGTCATGATTTGCACCCCCCCCTCTTGGACACCCCTCTTGGCCGCTCCCGAAGAGATCGTGAGACCTTCGGGGGCCTCCCTCCTCCCACCCCCCCCTTCCGGGCGTTGCGTTACCCAGGAGAAGGAAAAACACGCAGACACAATGAATCGTCGATTTCCCAGAAAAGATGGGGAAACAAGGGAAGTGTGGGGGGAGACGGAAACTCAGCAAACATGGGGAAAATATGGGGAATCCTGTCATGGATGTGCATTTACTTGCGTGTCCCAGGGCCCCTTCAGTTATGGAGGGGCGGGCAAGCGGGGGAGGGGAAGCTGGGTGCACTCCTCTCGGGCGCCCTGGGTGTCCCAAAGGGGGCCCCCTCTGGGGCCCAGGAGGGGCATCACGTGTCCACGTGTCTTCGCCCCCTCTCCGTGTATATCGCCGCCCCGAGGACGGAGGAGGAGGAGGAGGAAGAGGAGGAGGAATAGGAGGAGGAAGAGGAGGAGGAGGAGGAGGAGGAGGAGGAGGAGGAGGAAGGGGCCCTGAGCAACGCCTAAGCTCCTTCCTTCGTTCGTTCGTTCCCTCCTCCTAAGCAGCGCCCGAACTTTCAGGGCCCCGTGGACGGGGGCCGTCGTAAAGAAGCCAGGACAGGAGGCGGCTGCAGCCGTGGGTCCAGGCTCGCCTCCGTTGCTCGCCTCTCTCCAGCCGGGCCTCCGCTCAGGAGTCCGGGCTGGGCCCCCTCCCGCCTCCGCTCGGGCCGTGGCGAAGCGTCCTGGCTCGCCCTACGAGACTGTTTTTACCGGTGTCCGGCGCTGACCCGGGCTATCGGGCCTCAAGCCGGGCGTGTCCCTCTACAGGAGGAATATCCCTAAACAGTTTAAAGATAGTTGGGGGGCGATTTTTGTAGTATTTTTGAGGCTATTCGTGTTTTTTTTTTTTTTGGGGGGGGGGGGGGGGTATTTTGAATTTTTCCTTCCAAATCCCCCTGTAGGGGGAAACGCCTGACTTAAGGCTTGCCCCTCTCCTCCCCCCCACCAGGATAACCTAACCTTGCCGGCTGTGCAGGTCCGGTGTGGGGGTGCGCGGGCATATGCAGGGCTACCCACAGCGCGAAGGTTAGTTCATCGGCCGGCCCCTTCCCCCCCCCCTTCCTCGCATAACCCGGGTTGTCGCCGATAAAAAACGATCTCCTGGCTGGCCCCTCTCCGCTCGAGCAGTGGCGAAGCGTCTTGGCTTGCCTTCAGGCCCTCCACATAATGTTCTAAGAACCTCTTGCGGTCTGCACGAAATGCTCTCAGAACGGTTCTGGCTGAGATTGTGTTGTTTTGACACATCGGGCTTTTGTTCTAAGAACATCGTTTTTGTTCTTCGAACTTTTTTGGGGTCCAAGAAGATGTCGTGGTAGGCCAATAGGAATGCCGGGACGGTCGGTTCCTGCTCAATCCGTGCCCAAAGCCCGTGGCAGGACGAGCGCGACAGGGCGAGGGAGCAGCAGCTGGAGATCGAGCGCCTGCGCAGCAGCCTGCTGCGGCAGGCCCGGGAGGTGCCCAGGGGGCCCCCTTTGAGGCTTGGGTTGTGGAGGACGACCAATGGAGAGGAAGCATGTCTAAAACATGTATTAGACATGACTCGCATGTTAAAACATGCTTCAACATTTTTAGAACAGGTTTCCTACATTTCAAAATCAGTTTAAATTCAATGATCGGACTGTCAGGGTGTCCATTGTCGTGGCATCCACAGGCTTTCGACGGAGGTGGGGGGAGACAGTGGGCACATACGAGAAGCAATCTTGCTATGGGAAGTCTTGGGGCACATTCTCCGTCGATCTTTGAGGGTCCTCAAAAATGGGCGACAGAAGAGAGCTGGGTCGTCTTCGCCGGCGTTGGCGCGCAAGCTGCCCGCGTAAGGTCGCGCGCAAGCGCCTTCGTCTCCAGTGGAGCGTGCCGCGCCCGCGGCCCGCGATGGCTAATGAGATGGCGCTAGGTGGAGTTGGAGTTCCTTTTTGCTCGTGCGGGGGAGAATCAGTTTCGGCGGCGAGCCGGGGGGAGGAAGTAAGAAGAGGCGGGCCTTCTCAGAAGGCTCGGAAGTCCCCCGGCCTTCCGAGCAGTTTTTCCCCAGCCTTCCCCGGCGACAGGTTGAAGCCTTCCCGGAAGGCCGGAGAGCTCCCGAGAAGCCCCGCCGCCTTCTGAGAAGGCCCTCGGCTTCTCACTTCCCCTCCCCCCCCCGCGCTCGCCGCCGACAGTGCTTCGTCGGTCTGCGAGGGCCCCCAGGTGCCCCAGCAGCACCCCTCCGAGGGCCTGGACGCGCCCGAGCACCAGGAGGACGCCGGCAAGCCGCTCCCGCAGAGAGAGCGCCCCGTGGGCGGCGTGGGAGGGGGCACCCGGCGCGCGGCTTTCCGAGGAGGAGGAGGAGGAGGAGGAGGAGGAGGAGGAGGAGGAGGAGGAGGAGGAGGAGGAGGAGGAGGAGGAGGAGGAGGAGAGCCGGGCCCTGGGCACGCAGGCCGCTACCAGGCCATGCAGCGAGGGGGGAGCCGCGCACCAGCGGCCACTCTTCGGACGTGGCTGGGACGTCAGAGGGGGAAAAGGTACCCCTACCGCTACCCTCCCCTCGTTCTCCCCTTTTGCGGGCCTCCTGGGAGGCCCTCGTCGCCACCGCTGGGTTCGCCTCGAACTTCTGGTCAGAACGCACCCCCGGAGAGGTCCAGGGAGTAACGGTATCGGTGGCTTTTTATTTTTCCCAGGACGAGGATGAGTCCGTTCCAGAGCGTTCTGGAGCGCTCTCAAAGCGCTCCCGGAGCGCTCTGAGAAGGCCGCGGCGCCCGAGACATGTTCCAGAGCCGCGGGATCTCAGAGTTTCTCGATTTATCCTCACCCGAATTAAACCTCGTCCTGGCCTCGTCTGAACTCTGGCCGGGGAGCCTTCCCCTTCCCCGTCCGCCAAGAGAGAAATCGGCCACGCGCTGGGGGGGTAGGGGAAGGGGGAAGGCTTCTTCGAAGGAGGCTGTCTCTAAGAGGCCCCTTCTTCCCCCTACCCCCCTGTGCGCGCCGCCAAGAGATGGAGAGCAACTCATTCCCGCGTCCACCAGGGCGATGTGACATTTTTTCCGCATCTTGTTCTCTATATCTACACATGTATGGTTTAACGCGCTCCCACGGAGCGTATTACACATCGTCACCTCAACTGTTTGATACGCATCACAAACCAACACAAACTAGTTTCTCTGCGGTTGTGGCTTTGATGTTTCAGTTATCGTCGCATAAACACGTATGTGCATTCAAAACTGCTTCCGTATTTCATTAAGTGCGTGGCTTGTTTATCACATTGCGCCGTTGCAGATGCGTGACGCTCGTGCCGCTTTTTTGTTGTAGAGGTTCGGGCGTTTCTAAAACAGTGAATGGTTTCATCGAACTGTGTTGGCTGGCCCCTTGGCGGTTGTGTCCTTTGCAATTTGCCAGGGACCTAGCCTTAGACACTAGCAGCCGACAGCGCTCTTCGGGCCACAAGCCTCAGAGAGAAGCTTCGAACATTGGCACCGTGAAGTGGCGGGCGCATGGGTGGCCTGGGTCGCCTTCAGTCCTCTTCCTCCTCCACTTGCTCCCCCTCCTCCTCCTACCCTCTCTTCCTCCTCCCCTTCCTCCTCTCCTCCTCCATTCCTTTACGCGTCCGTAGGACGGGCTGGGCGTTTCGCATGAGACACCCTCGCCATTATTCTGTTCTTGAAGCTTGAAATCTGCAGCTTCAGTGGTGGAGGGCTGGTGGCTTTCAAGATGTGGTTCTCGCTTTAGCGCCGCGCACATGTGTGTTATAAGTTTGCATCACTTTTACTGATGTAGGGCGGGTGGTTTTCAAAATGTGGTTCTCGCCCTGGCGCTGCGCACATTCGTCTTGAAAGTCCGTGCCGCAGTTTCAAGGATACGTATGGTCGAAGGCCCAGGAACTGTGTTTGTGTACGATGTAGGGTTGTCATGGAGCAACAGTCACGTGCATCCGCTGTGTTGAAGTTCCAAGAGTAGCATTCTCGCACGATTTTGGGGTTGTCAGGACACACCAGTCACATTGATCCGCGGCGTTGTAGCCCCAGAAACGGTATTTTGGCGCGGCTGAGGAGTCTGAGTTGTCTGTCTTCTGATGGGCCACTTCCCGCAGTGAACTGAATTCTGTTGGATGCCTGTGACGAAGGAACCTGGAGAGCGTCTTTATCGCAACATCGCTGCTGCGTTTTGGGTTTACACTGGTCAGCCTCCTCCTCCTTCCCCCCCTCCTCCTCCTCCTCCTCCTCCTCCTCCTCCTCCTCCTTCTCCTCCGCCTCCGCCTCCGCCTCCGCCTCCCTCCTCCCCTCCCCCTCCTCCTCCTCCTCCTCCCTCCTCCCTCCTCCCTCCTCCTCCTCCTCCTCCTCCTCCTCCTCCTCCTCCTCCTCCTCCTCCGTCTCCTCCTCCTCCTCCTCCTCCTCCTCCTCCTCCTCCTCCTCCTCCCTCCCTCCCTCCCTCCCTCCCTCCCTCCCTCCCTCCCTCCCTCCCTCCCTCCCTCCCTCGGTGGTGCCTCAGCGCTCCATCGCCGGTGTGCCGAGGGGGCGGTGGCCGCCCGCCCGAGGCCCCTGCGCGGGTGGGCGCGGCGGTCGGGGCCTCGCCTCTTTCGGCCCCTTTGGGGGGCGCCTCGTCGGTGGGCGCAGGCAGGGCTCGTCATCACTCCTACTCCTCCGCCTCCTCCTCCTCCTCCTCCTCCTCCTCCTCCTCCTCCTCCTCCTCCTCCTCCTCCTCCTCCTCCTCCTCCTCCTCCTCCTCCTCCTCCTCCTCCTCCTCCTCCTCCTCCTCTCCTCTCCTCCTCCTCCTCCTCCTCCTCCTCCTCCTCCTCCTCCTCCTCCTCCTCCTCCTCCTCCCCCTCCTCCTCCCCCTCTCCTCTCTCCCTCCTCCTCCTCCTCCTCCTCCTCCTCCTCCTCCTCCTCCTCTCTCTCCTTCTCCTTCTTCCTTCTCCTTCTCTCTTCTTCTCCTTCTCCTTCTCCTTCTCCTTCTCCTTCTTCCTTCTCCTTCTCCCTCCCTGGGGGCGCTCGTCGGTGGCCCAGGCAGGCTCGTCATCACTCCTGCTGCTCCTCCTCCTCCTCCTCCTTCCTTCCTCCTCCTCTCCTCCTCCTTCTCCTCCTCCCCTCCTCCTCCCCCTCTTCCTCCTCCCCCTCCCCCTCTCCCCTCCCCCTCCTCCTCCTCCTCCTCCTCCTCCTTCTCCTTCTCTCTCCCTCCCTCCCTCCCTGGGGGGCGCCTCGTCGGTGGGCCCAGGCAGGGCTCGTCGTCACTCCTGCTACTCCTCGCCCCTCAGGAGCCCATCTCTTTCTTGCTTGGGGCATGACGGGCGTCATGGCCCTCGGCCCCCCCCCCCCGGCCCTCCCCTATGACGTAACGCTCACCCCCCCAGTGCGTTCAGGGCACTGCCGCCGTGCGAATCGTGATCCGCATAAGTGTCCGCACAGGAATCCGCATAGGGGTCTGGTCCGCAGTCTTCGTCGTCGTCGTCGCCGCCGTCGTCGTCGTCGTCGTCGTCGTCGTCGTCGTCGTCGTCGTCGTCGTCGTCGTCGTTGTCGCTCGTCGCTCGTCGATCGTCGCTCATCGTCGTCGTGCGCGCGGACGCAGCTGGAGTCTGTTCTTGTATTCCGGGCCGCAGACGGCAATGATTTTGGGGGCGTGGAGGGGGCCGATGACGTCACGCTTCGCGCCGGCGGCGTCTGGGAATGCCTAGGAATCACCGAGGACGGGTAGCAGCAGCATGTCGGTGACGATCTGCACCACAACGCCCGTGTACACCATACAGTCGGCCCGGATTAGTAGGTCGACCTTGCCAAATCAAGGGTACCTTTGTGTCTTGTGTCTCGCGACCCGTGCCTCCTACATGCCTATGGCAATGTGGCCCCTTGTCCTCTCGCGTGTCCTGTCCAATGACGTCAGACCGTAGTGCCTGCGTGCACCACAGCGCCTGTGTACACCACACCGCCTATGTACACCACAGCAGCCGCGTGCATCACAGCGCCAGTGTGTGCCACAAAGCCTGCTGGCACCACAGCGCTTGTGTACACCACAGCGCCTGCGTACACCACATCAGCCGCGTGCAACATAGCAAACGCGCACGTGCGCTGTAGTGCCGACCCGCACGACAGGGGGAAGGGTGAGGGAGGAGGAGGAAGAGGAGGAGGAGGAGGAGGAGGAGGATGATGATGAGGTGGAGGTCTCAGCGTCTCAGCACTTCCCTGGCGTGGCGTTTAGCTGTCCGCAGCAGATCCTCACCGACATGCTTCTTTTACCTGCCTTGTGCACGCAGGCACTCTGGTGTACACCAGCGCTGCGTTGCACGCGGAGACTGTGGTGTAGACAGACGCTGTGGTTTGCACAGGCGCTGCGGTGCACGTAAGCATTGTGATGTAGACGGGCGCTGTGTTGCACATGGCTGCTGCGGTGTACACATTCGCTGTGGTGTACACTGGCGCTGTGGTGCACGCAAGCACTGTGGTGTACACGGGCGCTGCGTTGCACACGGCTGTTGTTGCGGTGTACGCACGCGCTGTGGTGTACACGAGCGTTCTGGTGCACGCGAGCTCTGTGGTGTATACAGGCTGTGGGGCCCATCGCCACCTACATGCTGCTCGCGTCATCGTCGTCGTCGTCGTCGTCGTCGTCGTCGTCGTCGTCGTCGTCGTCGTCGTCGTCGCTCGTCGCTCGTCGCTCGTCGCTCGTCGCTCGTCGTCGTCGAGTGCGCGGGCGCGGCTGAGGCGCCAGAGCCGCGCGGCGGGGGGGGGAGTCACGCTATACCCCCCCCGCCCTCCCCCCCACCATGACGCCCGTCATCGCCGGTGATGAAGAAACGCGCTGCAGAGCAAGATAAGGAGAAGGAGGAGGAGGAGGAGGAGGAGGAGGAGGAGGAGGAGGAGGGGGAGGAGGAGGAGGAGGAGGAGGAGGAGGAGGAGGAGGACGAGGAGGAGGAAAATTCTATAAACATGAGATTGGGAGCTCTTCGCGGATGTCTTGGATCTGCGCTGGCCCTCGGCGGCGCCTCCGGCGCGGCCCCTGGAGCGCTCCGCGCGCCAGGGAAGGGGGCCCCAGCGCCGATCCAAGACTTCCGCGCGGAGCTCGGAGAGTTTACATTCAGGAGGGAAAGAAATACACAGACACGATTAATCGACGATCCCCAGGAAAATATTGGAAAATATGGGAAGTGTGGGGGGGAGACAAAACCCAGAAGATATGGGAAAATATAGGGAATCCTTTTATTTGTGTGTACTTGTTTGTGTGTCCCAGGGCCCCTTCGTATATGTATGCCAGGGTGTGTGATTCCTCTTCCCGTAGAGTGTCCATCGAACCACTTGCGCACATGCTCTTCATACACCTTGATAGGCGCCCCCGCAGAGGCATTCTCTGTCTCCCTTCCCCCCGGACCGCCCCTCCATGGGTGGCGAACCCATACCCCCGACGTCATGTTTTTGTTTCACAGCGTCGACCCCCAGTGGTCTCGACCCAATCCCTGGGACCAGCTTTTCGCCCTGAGGCGGTCTTCGACGGTCCCGAGGCCCGGCGAGGGCCCCCCGAGGCGTAAATGTGGAACGTTCGTCGGTCGTGTTTCTGCACGACGCGAGGGTGTCGGAGTTCTCCCTCGCTCCTCCCAGATCGGACAGTTGTCTGCGGCAAACCTCGCCACCGTGCCTGTGCAACAGCGTCGCAGGAAGGAGTTTGAATTCTTACTGCTTCGCGTGCCCAAATCAGGCCATCCAGGGACGATGCCCAGGGCAGCTGCCCTTATCGGGGGAAACCGGTATGATTCGGAGAGCTCGTAGAGCCTCAGTGGCCCAGATGTATCTTGGATGCATCTCGGAGTCTCTTGGGATGCCTCACGGGGTCTTTGGAGGCCTCTGGAAGCGTCTTGAAGGCCTCCTGGTGGCTTTGGGGGGCCTCTCGGGGCGCCGTGGGGGCCTCGTGGAGAAGGGGGCGGTCGTGCTTCGAAAAACGCCAAAAACCTTCAAACACGCCCACTCCGTGCACGCACGGTGTCGTCGGGGAGAGTTTGGTCCTTCGCGGGCCAAGCTCTCTCCGCAGGGAGGCCCTCGTAGAGAGTTCGGCCCCTTGCGGGCCCATCTTTCGCTCGGGGCCCGCAGGACCCTTCGTCCCCACCTACCGCCATGACAGTGCTGGTTGAGCTGGGGGCGCTCCCTAACGCGAGGCCACCTCGAATTGCACGCAGTGGTCCCCAGGCCGCTAAATCCCGCTAAATCCTCCTGCCTCCTCTTCTCCCTCTCCTCCTCCTCCCCCTCCTCCTCCTCCTCCTCCTCCTCCTCCACCTCCTCCTCCTTCTCCTCCTCCTCCTCCTCCTCCCTCCTCCTCCTCCTCCTCCACCTCCTCCTCCTCCTCCTCCACCTCCTCCTCCTCCCCTCCTCCTCCCCTCCTTCCTCCCCCTCCTCCTCCCGCTCCCTCCTCCTCCTCCTCCCCCTCCTCCTCCTCCTCCTCCTTCTCCTCCTCCTCCTCCTCCTCCTCCTCCTCTCTCCCTTCCATCGGCGGTGCCCCTGCGCTCCCTCGCCGCCGCCGCGGCCAGGAGCCCCTCGGCGAGGAGCCCGAGCCCTCCGTGCCGGACGGGGAGCCCTCCGCCCCCGAGCGGGGCGACGGCAGCGGCCTCCCCGAAGACGCGCCGGCCGCGGAGGCCTCGAGGCCTCCGCGGCGGCCCGGCGGCGGCCTCCCCGCGGCGGAGGCCGAGCGGGCGGCGGCCGCGGCGCCGGGCGGTGGCCTCGCTGAGGGGGGCGCCGCCGGCCAGGAGGGAGCTGGGGCCCTCCCTCGGCGTCTTTATGAGGAGGAGGACGACGACGACAAGGCGGAGGAGGAGGACGAGGCGGAGGAGGAGGACGAGGCGGAGGAGGAGGAGGACGAGGAGGAGGAGGAGGAGGAGGAGGAGGAGGAGGAGGAGGAGGGAGGAGGAGGAGGAACTGAGCTGGAAGGGTCCTCCCCGATCTCAGCACCCCATCCTAGTGCAAAGCCGATCTTTGATAGGAAGATGTACCGATACCGCAACCCTCCGCCCGTTTTCTCCTTTCTGGGCCTCCTGGGCGGCCCTCGTCGCCGCCGCCGGATTCCCCGCGACATCCTGTTCAGAACACACCCCAGGAGAGGTCAGGGGAGTAGCGGCATCGGTACCTTTTGGGAGTAGCGGTATCGGTCCAGGGAGTAGCGGTAGTGGTATGGGGCCCTTCTTCCCCTGAGATTTTGGCGCAGCATTTTTTTCACAACGGGCGGTTTCGCCCAATTTCGGTCCCTGGGACCTTCACAGCGTCGATCCGGCTCGAACAATGACGCAGAAAGATGGGGTCTGGGGCTCCGGTCGTGTTTTTTTTTTGCGATGCTGCATTTTTTTGCAACGTCGCGGACCTCAGGGTCGGCGTTTTGAGCAAGTCGAGGCGAATTTTCTTTTGTGGCTTTCTCTCTCTCTCTCTCTCTCGTTTCTTTAGGTTCAAAACCGGCTCGGGGTGAAAAAAAGGGTCCCGGGGGAGTGGTCGAGAGGTCGGGGGTTTGTGTTTCTCGAGGTCGGGGGCCTGTGCCTCGAAAGAAGCGAGGCGCCGGAAGGGTCGTGATTTTGTTCGCGATGGTTGCAGTTTGCTCGCCACGTCGGATCTCCCTCGCCAGACGTGCCCGCGTCGTGGCAAGCATCTGGGCGGAGTTTCTTTTGCCGTTCTCGGTTTCTGGGGGCCTTTGCCGGGCGTCGCAATGTTCTCGAGCGGGGCGTTCTCGCCCAGTCTCGGCGCCGCCCGGGGCCCCCCAGGACCCTGGACAGAGAGGGTTTTGCTTAGTGGCTGAACCCGTAACGTCCGTGCGGGGGTCGCCAACCAACTCGCCCGTAACAGTACGAACGTGATGGCGGGCCCAGACCCCCTCGATTAATGAAAACATCATGACGGAAGGTTGTTCCTAATTTTCGGCCTCCGGGGGCCTTCACCGGGCCTCGGGAGCGTCAAACAACGACTCAGGATGCAAAGCCGGTCATGGGGAAAGGGTCGAGAACTCTGGGGGTCGACGTAATGACAAAATCGCGACGTCGGGGGTCTGGGCCCCCAGGGATGGCCTTGTGCTCACCGACTTTCTGTGGTGCCGTCACATGCATGCTGTGGCGCTCGCATGCATCTGGTTCGCCGGGGATGCCAGGAAGGCCATCACTGCCCAGATTTGCTTGCGTCGTGAACAAATCAGGGCGAGTTTTTCATCGTTTTCGGAAGCGACTCGGCCCTGGGGAACAGGTCGGGACTTTTGGGGAAAAGATCTGGGGGCCCCATATCGAGGAGGGCCAGTTGAGGACGGCCCCTGAGATTCTGGCGTTCCACTTTTTTCGACCCGGGCGGTTGCGCCTGGTTTTCAGCGCAGGGAGCCTCAGGCAATTATTGTTCTGGCTCGAGAAATAGAGTAGGAAGATGGGGTCTTTGGTTCTGGTCGTGTTTTTTTCGCAAAGGAAGTTTCTTTTTCCGCAGCGTCGGATCGCAGCAGTACTGGGCCTTCGGGAAGGCCTCTCGTCGCCATGGCTGGACGCAGCTTGGGAAACTGCTGCGTTTGGGCTCCCTGAGGGGTCTGGGTTCCGGGAACCGACTCTGCGCTGTCACTTGTCCCTTCCTCCGGATCCCGAGGTCGTCGTTCGAGGTGTTCGGGCGTCGTCGTCGGCTTTACTTAGCCTCGGGGTGCTTTCCTGCAGCTGCGCTGCGCCGAGGGCGTGCCACTGCTGTGCCGGGGGTGCCCGGGTCGTCCCGAACGGCCGCCGCAGATTCGAGCGGCGTCATCTTCCTGGGGGGAGGAGGAGGAGGAGGAGGAGGAGGAGGAGGAGGAGGAGGAGGAGGAGGAGGAGGAGGAGGAGGAGGAGGAGGAGGAGGAGGAGGAGGACATACCTCCGCGCGCCGTCTTCGGCCGGGGCGTCCGTCGGCGGCGGGCCCAGGGGCGGAGCGAGAGGGGGCACGTCCTGCCAGCAGGCGCTGGGGCTTCTCAGCAGCACCCGCGCCTTCTCAGAAGCCGTCGTCGGCTTCGGAGACGGCCCGCAAGGCCTCGCAGAAGGCGCGGGGGCTTCTGAGCGTCAGCAGAGCGAGTCGGGATGCAAAGGTGCTGCTCGTCGAGACCGCGGGGGGGGCAACGCCGCGGAAAGGTCACGACGCCAGGGGCTGCCTGGGATGACTAGACTTAAGTCGGGCACGTCCTTCTACAGGGAGGGTGTTCAAACATAGTGCAACATAGTGTGGGGACTTTCATGCTTTAATCTTATTTCATAGATGAAAAAGAAAAAGGAAATAACAACACACTTGTTTGAGCATCTTTGGATTCTTTGTTTGATCATTTTAATTGTTTCGCCCAAAATCCCCCTGTAGGGTGACAGGCAAGACCTTAGACTGGGCGGGGCCCGCGGCGCCCTCTCGCCGAAGGCCGCCGTCTTCGCTGCTGCTGGGAGGGCGGCGGCGAGGGCGAGGGCGAGGGCGAGGGCGAGGAGGGCGAGGGCGAGAAGGAGGAGGGGGAGGAGGAGGATGAGGACGAGGATGATGATGCTGATGAAGATGCTGATGAGGATTATGCTGATGATGATGTTGATGATGCTGCTGATGCTGATGCTGATGCTGAAACTGATGCTGGTGCTGATGCTGATGCTGATGCTGATGCTGATGCTGCTGTTGATGCTGTTGCTGTTGTTGATGGTGAAGACGAGGAGGAGGAAGAAGGGGAGGAGGGGGCGAGGAGGTGGAGGTGGAAGAGGAGGAGGAGAAGGTGGAGGAAGAGGAGGAGGAGGAGGAGGAGGAGGAGGATAATGATGAGGAGGAGGAGGATGCCGATGCTGATGATGCTGATGCTGATGCTGATGATGAGGATGAGGATGCTGCTAATCATGCTGATGCTGATCATGATGATGCTGATGCGGCTGCTGATGATGGTGATGACGGTGGTGGTGGCGGTGGTGATGATGCTGCTGCTGCTGATGGTGATGTTGCTGTTGTCGTCGTTGTTGTTGTTGCTGCTGCTGCTGTTGTTGTTGCTGCTGCTGTTGTTGTTGTTGTTGTTGTTGTTGTGGTGGTTGTGGTTGTTGTTTTTGGTTTTGTTGTTGTTGTTGGTGGTGGTGGTGGTGTTGCTGTTGTTGTTGTTGTTGTTGTTGTTGTTGTTGTTGTTGTTGTGGTTGTTGTTGTTGTTGTTGGTGGTGGTGGTGGTGGTGGTGGTGTTGCTGTTGTTGTTGTTGTTGTTGTTGTTGCTGTTGTTGTTGTTGTTGAACAATATTAATTCTTTCTAAAGAATAATTATTGTTGGCGCCCCTGGTGCACGCCCCCCCCGCCGCGCCTAGGCCGCAGCCACATTTTCATCATTTTCGTGAGGAAGTCTCAGGCAAAACGGGTTGGTCCAGATCCGGTTGTGTTGTTACGATCGGTTTTCCCTTGCAAAAAATAAGGCAAAGTGGACATTTCTTGTTCTAACATGACCAAACTTCAAGAATCCCTTGCAAAAAAATGACACGAAGTGCACATTCGCGCGCGCAAGACGAAATCCTTCCAAAACCTTAGTCTTTGCAGCGATTTTCACATAAAAACATGAAAAACCCAATAGTTTTTCAAAAAAAGGGTTTCAAAAATTCACCCCGCGCGCTCTTGCGGATTTCTTAGGAAACCCAATCAATACTTTTTCAACATTTCTGTCAAACGGGCTCTTGCGAGCAACTTTTTCACGTGCTTCGAACTTCTGCAACAAAGGTTGCGCGCCTGCCAGGGCCATCATCCCTGTCAAATAATACCATGTGGGACACATTCGTTTTTTCTTCGCGCGCGCACGCCGAAATCTTCAAAAATCATTGGGTTTCTTAGGAATTTTAGCACCGCGCAACATAAAATCATACGAATCGCACCGTAGGTTCTCGAAAAACATCTGTACGAATTTTCAAAATTTCTACCCGCGCGCGCTGTCCGAATCCTTAAAAACCAATGGTTTTTCAACATTTATTTTATAGAGCTCGCGCGAGCTGTTTTCGCAAGCTCTTTCAACGGCGTTCGCGCGCTTGCCAGGGGCTACAATCCCTTGCAACAAATATCATGCGGGACACATGCGCGCGTCGTCGCGTCGTCGTTGTCGGCATGGTACCACAACAAGTCAGTGTGTCACCACGTCATCGAACAAAATCACTGATCACTGTCACATCCGTAGCCATCTCGGATCAAGGTATCGCCTGTGTTCTTGGATGGGTCATGGCTTTGTCGGCGAAAGCCCTTGACGAGCAGTATGGCCCAGAGCTGTCGCGGCCTCCCTTGGCCGACTGCGGCAGCCCGTTTTATTTGCATCAGGCGCTCGTTGCAAAGGGTATCCAGGTCAGTCACCAGGCGTGCAAGGTTTGGTGGGTCAAGTATCGGGTTGTGCCTGGCAAGGTCAGTATTTCTAGCGCCAAGGAGCTGGAGGAGCAGCACGGCTCTGCCATCCGCCATCTGGGCATCGAGTATAATACAGCTTTCAAATTATGTGGGGCGCTCCGACGGTTGGATCCACCACTGTATGTGTCAAATCCGGTCGCAACGGCGTGGCTACTGCAGTATTCTTCCAAAGAGACGCTTGTCATAGTGCAGAACGCTGGCCACCTGGAGACCTGGTATGGAGAACGTATTCGCACAGACATGCCCGAGGGGACTACTGACGGGGCCGTCTTGAAGCAGTGGCTCCTGGGACATTTATCTGTATCTGCTGACGCCAGGGTATGCCAGAAGTGGCTCAGCACGGAGTGGGGCGCCAAGGGAGCATTGAACACTGCCCAAGCTGTGGAGGACTGTATAGGCCAGCGTCTTCGACTCAATCAGTATCGGGAG